TTTTCTTTTCTTTTCTTTTCTTTTCTTTTCTTTTCTTTTCTTTTCTTTTCTTTTCTTTTCTTTTCTTTTCTTTTCTTTTCTTTTCTTTTCATTTTATCTTATTATATCTTATTGTATTTACTCGTTCCATTCATTTTTGCGCGCTCCTCGCCAAGACGGCCCCTGGATCGCGGGGAAGGGCGCGCGCTCCCGAGCCGGGCGGGCCGGGCTGCTCGCAGCCGCCGCGACCCCTTTGCTCCGCGCGAGGACCGAAATTCTCGATGTCCCCACGCACGGATGTCCCCAAGGCGGCCCCGAGGGGCTGGGGGAGCCGCGGTGCGAGAGCGGTGCACCCAGACCCTCCATGTGCCCTCCCGGGCACCTTTCCGCCCTGAAAAACAGCTCGAAACTAATGCTTTAATGGGAACCCCTGCTTAGGGTGTTGAAACTTGCAAACTATTTTGCCGGGAGGGAATAAAAAGCTCGACGAGTGTTTGGGCGTTTTGGTGGCATTGCGTTTATTTTGTGTAACTTACTTCTTTTGGTTCCTTCCTGATTACTTCTCCAGTTTCGGGACAAGAAAGGGCTTAGTCAAATGGGATTTTTTTCCTCCCCCCCCCCCTTTTTTTTTTTCCACGGGGGCTGCGTGGTGCGGTCCAAGGGGAGGTGAAAAACGCATTCGAAATCCCCCATTGCTGCCAAATAACTTCCCCGAGGTGGGAATGTGTTTAAATTCGGGTGCGAGAAACAGTCCGTTCTCATCCGGATCCTGCGGGATTTCCCGTGTCAGGGATGTGCATTCCCTGCTCCCCGAAAGGGATGGGGGGGGGAGCGGCACCTACTTTTTACTTTACTTATTAAAGAAAAAAATACCCAACCAACCCACCAAACGAGCCGCGTTTGTCCCGCCAACCAAATAAATACCCGAGTGGCTTAAAATTTCAGGGAGGCGCTTGAACCGGGAGAAGCAGATCCAGGGATCGCCCGGGACAGGCCGGGGGCAGCGGTACCGGCTCCGGTGCCGCGGGAGGTTCCCTCCTTTCACCTGTGCTGAAACCCTCGCTTGAAATAAAACCTTAATCCTCGCCTCCTGTTCGACGGGAGCGCTCTCCCCGCTGCGGTATTTGGCAACACGTCCTTATAGGGACAGGTTCGTGTTTGTGTAAGCGGGGATGTGCCCTGTCTGGAAGTCCCTTGTAACCCAACACCTGGCGAGCCCGGCTCCCGTTGCTGCTCGCAGAAAAGGTTTATTCGAGCACGTAATGGGATCCCAGCAGAGAGCTGCTCAGAAGAAGGGGCTCTGCTAAACTGCGCCACATGAACTCGGTTACCAGGGCTATTAAGCTTTTAATTGGGGGGGGGAAAAAAAAGGAGGGGGAAAAAAAAAAAAAGGTGGTGTGGGGGGAACGCAACGCCTTAGCAGAACAGCCCGAGAGAAAATGAATTGAGCGCAAATTATGGTCCCAATTTGGTGGAAAAGGGCCCGTCTCGGCTCTGCGCGGCCGCTGACCCCCCTTCTGGGGAAGAAACCCCGCAGAGCAGGTAGGGGTTGGGGCAGGGGAGCCCAAACGCGCCCGGATTCGTTCCCTTTCCACGCGGATCCGCTGGCACGGAGCGCCCGTCCCAGGGATGCGTCGGGAACGCGCGGGAAGCGCCGCGCTGCGGAGCGGAGCCTCCCAGGGACGGGACGGGATGGGACGGGACGGGGGGACACCCGGGAGCACCAGGGACCGGGGGGACACGAGGCCGGGCTCGGAGGCGGCCAAAGCGCCCGGGTGTCGGAGCAAACGCTCCGGGGCTGCGAGCGTCGAGGCTGCCGTCGCGTTGCCCCGCGCACGTTTCCCCGCGCTCCGGGTCCCAAAGTTTACCCAGATCGGGCTTTTGGAAAAAAAAAAAACATATTTTTTATTTTCTTTTATTTTGAAGACATGCCCCACGTTCCTCCCTTCCTTATTCCCCTTAATTTCCCTGCCCCCTTCCCCTTCCCGCGCTGGGACGAGGCCGCAGGGAGAAGCCCCTCACCCGCTTCGCACCCCCCGGCATCACCCCCTATAGCCCCCCAAAAGCCGCAACCCCCCCCCCCGGTCTGGAGCAGCGCCCGCCCCACGGCAGCTCCCAGCACATCCCCCCACACCCCGGTCCATGTGGGGGTGAGTGGGACCCCCCCAAAAAACCCTCAGCGACACCCAGCAGCGAGGCGGGAAAAACAGGAAAAGCGCCGGCAGAGTGGGGGAAAAAAAAAGGCCTATTAATTGCGGGGAAAAAAACCACCCGTGGATTGGGATTAAGCCCCCGTGGAGCGGGAAAAGCGCCCGTTCCCGCCGGGATGTGGGTTGGAGCCGCCGCCGTCCCGCGCCCCCCGGCGCGCTGACAAGTGTGATGAAAGGGTCTTCCTTAACTAAACTCGTAAAGCACCGGGCAATAAAACTCAATCTTCTGTAAAATCCAATTAAGTCATTATCTGACTGATTGTATCTTTAATTGAAAACAGAAGTGACAGTAAATTTCTGTGATATATCAGGATCAATCGATACCGCTATACGATTCAGCCTCAAGAAGTGATTTATAATGTCAAACCTATATAGGTAACTCCACATTATTCTCTCTAAAACCACTGGTGGATGAAATTAAGAGTAAGTGCATTTAATAAAAAACAAGATGGTCAGGTTATTGATTACAACAGATGGGGGTGAAATCAAATAGATGTTTTCAAAGCACAGAGCGAAGAAAATACAAGTAATTTCTTTTTTTTCTGTTTTAATACAGCTCTCCAAATATACACACAAGAAAATTCAGTCATCAATAACATTTTTATTTCAGGTACAGCTGCAACTACAGAGAACAATGAATTTTTCTAGACTAGTTTCATTTCAGGTTGGCTTCTGTAACACAACGCAAGAACACCGCGAGCCATTTTTTTTTTTTAACAAAATAACAAACATAGAAAATCCGCAGTAACTTTTTTAAAGCGACTTTTTTTTTTTTTCACTTGCAGTTTAGATTGCAATCTAACACAAGGCACTCAACTGCAGTTATGCAAAATATGTTAATTCCGCGACGCTAAGAAAAAAAATATATAAAATAAAATTAAAAATAATTGAACCGCCCGTAGCAGAACAGCAGCATTAGCTTGTAAGGAACCATTAAAAATTCACAGCGAGGGTCGCGCCTTAAGGAGGCACCGGCACAGGGCCCGGGGGCTCCCCCTTTCCGAGCCTCCCGCTCGGTACCGGGAACCGCGAGCGGCTCCTTCACCCCACACCCCTGAGAGAGAAGGACCCCCCAAAAAACAAAAATTAATAAAAATAACCCTAAAGAACAGGCGAACGGTGAACGGTGCAGCGGGGCCGCTCGGCGGCGGCTCTAGTCGCTGCCCTCCAGGACGGGGCTCACGGCGAAGGCGCCGGCCTCGGGGGGGGCCTCGCACTCCAGCCCCCCCTTGGTGCTCTCGCTGCTCCCCACGCCGGAGTCCTGGCTGCTGGGGGGCGAGAAGACTGCGCGGGGAGACACACACCACACCGTGAGAGGCCAAGGATTAGATACACATCATATACATTACCCATCATCATATATACTCATGCATCATATATGTTCCTATATTATATCTATTCCTATATTGTATATATTCCTATATTATACCTATTCCTATATTGTATCTATTCCTATATAATATATTCCTATATAATATATTCCTATATTATATCCATTCCTATATAATATATTCATATATATAATATTCACATATTGTATGTATCCATATATCGTATATATTCATATATTATACATGCATACCCCCAGTACATATATTATTCATATATACTCATATATCAACACATGATATATACATGTGAGTATATAAAATATGTATATAAATTATGTATATAAAACTGCATGTATAAAAGAATACGAATCTAAAATATACTATTCATATATACACACACACACATCAACTATATCATATTACATACAACTATGTATACTCTTATATAGAATATTAATATATGTATTTCAGCTTGCATATGACAACGTATATTCATATATGATATTAATATATACATTATATGTTTTACATTATATATGACTGCATATTCGTATATAGAATATTAATATATACAAAACAAACACGTATGAATTGTATGTTTCATATTGCTCTTATTCCTATTATATATACTCTTGTGATGAAGAACGACAGGGACAGAAACGGCGCCAACGTTGCCATCGGCAGTAGATACACCGGAATAAAACGGCAAGAAAAAGGGTCTCTGACCTTGCCCACCTCAGAGGAGCGGAGCGGCACCCCCGGCCCTGCCTCCCTGCTGCCGAGGACATAATTAAGGGGAATGTGCAGGGGTAATTTCTCTCCTCATTAACTTCCTGATTGGTTTCAGGCCCGGGACGCGGGCGGGCGGCCGTTTGTCACCCGGCCCAAATGGCCAATCGTTAATACTAATGTTTGTGTAACCAGGGCCAGCACCTGCCGCGGCTCCTTGTGCCACCGCCACGCCGGCGCTTCCCCTCCGCATTCCCTGCGGATGAAGGGCATCCATGGAGGGACTAGCACGGTGTAGCCCAGGCGGACGCAGGGAGCTCCAGCAGGCCCCACATCAATGCTGATTTGGCCTGGATTTTACCCTTTAGAGGGGAATATGAACAGGATGTCATGTTTTATGGGAGATTATGGTCCATAGCTTCCTTCCTCGGGGGTGATGATGAGTCTGGTACAACTGTACTGGGACACAGAGCTGAGGGCTGAACCCTGCTCCTCCGCGTCCCACTGCTGCTCCCTGCAGATGCTGGGCATTCCCAATGGATGCCGGGCATTCCTACAGTGCACTGGGCATTCCCAGTGCTCCTCAAGCACAAGGAGAGGAGGATGCTACCTCACAGCCAAGAAATCCAGCGGGACTCAAGGATGGTGAACACCAATTACCTGGATCTGTCCCACTACCAGCAACAGGAGAAATCCCACCCACCCTAAAATGATGCCAGAGGGCCACTTTCTTCAAAATTATTATTATTATTATTATTATTATTATTATTATTATTATTATTATTATTATTATTATTATATTTTATTTTCCTTTTTTTTTCCAATAACCTCCCTTTGCTGCTTAGCTCCTGGCCTGTTGATATTTTGAACATTGCTCATCATTAAGCAACTGAAAAGGCATTATGGAGTCGAGGTCTCATCTCATTCAACATCTTCACGCACTTTGCCCACATGACTCCGTGAAGGTCAATTCAAAACAATAATCATGGATACTTCCACGACGTTTCCCTTTTTTCCCCCATTTTTACCTCTGCAATGACTCCTTGAGACTTGGTGCAAGACTTGATGCAAGTTTCTCCTTTGATGCATGTGATACCCAAGCTAAACTGTAACACCACACTGCTGAAGAAGGCTCTACTCTTGTCTTTCATATCTGCCATTAGTATCTTGGTTTTTTCCTTCCCACTTGATGAATGGGATATTAAAACTACACTATGTTTCCTCTTTAGCTTAAAGACAGGAATGTAGCACTTGAGGAGCAAGGAAGCAGGGTGGTTTTTGAGTATTTTCAGGTGTTCTGTGAAGATGGGATCTGGGCCTGGAACACGATGGATCACCACTGTGCCCCTCTGCAGTGTGGCTGAATGTAGTTAAGTGGATCAAGAGGTCCGGGTCCATCACCCACGCCAAGGCCCGAGGAGCCACCGCTGCTGGAGGAAGACGCTGTTCCGCACGCCCTGACTGATGGAAAATGTCATGGCAAAGACATCCTGTACCCAAACTCAAAAATTCCAAAGGGAAAAAACAGCTATCCTCTGTGATATGGAATATGTGCATCAGCTTATGTCTTCTCTGCTGTAATGAGTGAGCCTTGCTGTGCAGAGGTCCCAGGAGACTTTGACCACTCAAATACATGTTTTGGTTGGGTCTGCCCATACCCGTCATGAGGAAACATCTCTCTCCTTGTAGGACACCTTAAATTTCAAGCAGATAGAGAGGCAGATGGGGCCTGAACGGGGCTGAAAGCTCCAGGGCTCCTCTCCCTGACCTGGAAACCCCATCTGGCTTTGATCCAGCAGTGTCCAAGGCGTCAAGACTTCGGGCACATCCCAAGGAATCTCTGTTCCCACAACTTGGGTGCGTAGGACATGAGCAGGGTTGGAAGGGAATCGTTTCTTGTTTACACCTGAGAGGCCAAATGGGCCAGAGGCTGATGTATTTGAAAGGATTTGGTAAGATTTTTAGCCTATATGTGTCCTGAGTGATGTAAAGGGTCAGGTTCATTTCTAAATACTGAGATGTACAAATCTCCCTGACAAAATTTAAGAAAGTTGTTCTGTGTGTGTTTTCTTTTTTCCCCCTAAATGGAAGATACCAGGCAAAAACAACCAACAACCCAAAATGGATGCTAAAACCCAACAAAACGCTGACTTTTGTTTTCACGGGCTCTTTATCTGGCAATTAACAAACTACCAACCTGCCAAAGAGCAGAAACGCTTGGGTAGATGGACCCCAATCCCATTCCCTACCACCTTGGGCAGTGACTCCTACGCTTCTGGACTGCTGCTGTTGTGCCTTAATTAGGAGAAATGCTCTTAATTACTTACTCAAGATACTTGGATGGGGACTTGTAGCTATACAAGGGAAATGAGCAACTCTGTTCCAGCGGTTTAATCACACAGTAATAAAATGTAAAAGTTCCGAGTCCAAAGAAACAAAAACCATGTTCTTTCTGATTTAAGCCTATGAGTTTCATCTGCTGGAGGTTGGTCGCTCATCCTCCCACTGCTGTTTGTACAACCCTTACTGAGGCTGTGACAGATTCTGAATACAATTCCTGGATGTAATTACTTTTTTTTCTCCAGGGAAAGCATCTGAATACTTCTGAGCCATCTAAATGTGAACATTTTTCAGCTAAAACCACAAAATGAAAGTGAGAAAGGATTCCAACCATGAACACAAAACCTTACATCTTCTGACACTGGAAACTGCACTGACTTTTAACTTGAGCAATACCTGGAACTCAATGGACTGAAAAAAGTAATAGACTTTCAATGATGTGAGAAAGCAGAAGTATATTCATGCTTGGAAAGTAAATATTTTTGAGCGTTTACATTTAAAAAACTATTAAGCTCTCAATGAGAAGCCATTTTTAGAGATTTAAAGTTGAGAGGCACAATTTGTTTTTTAAAACTCCCTCACTTCCTAGCTCAGGGGAAAAAAAATGGAAAATAAGTGTACCAGCCTTAAATGTTACCGAAGACCAAGCACTTCTTCTCAGTGAGAACGCAGAATTGCGTGAGCACAGTCAGAAAATGAGGAAAAAAGGCATCAGTTTGAGGCTGGTGGCAGCCAGAAGCACACAGAAGTCCCGCCTGGGTCCTCACCACGAGGGTGGGCAGGAGCTGCTTCCCATGCCACGTTCCCATCTGCAGCCAGCACAAATTTTGGTGTTTTTTTGGTTAGCGCCTGCAGAGCAGCCTGTCAAGCTGTGGTGACTACTGTGATACACACAGGAAGAGCCTAACAAAGCCTCAGATTAAGGAAAGAGGTTAGTGGCGCAAGACCAGGCACTCAGAGCCAGGGAACCAGCAGCTGAACATCTGAGAGCAAGGCAAGGAAATAACAGTGAAAAAATAAAGAGAGGGAGACAGGAGAGGATGGAAGGCAGGGAACAAGAACCATCTGTTGTGGAGAAGGTGTCAGGACAGGAATTCTGACCTCACTTGAAGATGGGCAAGACACAATCCCACATGCAAAGAGCAAGCCTGGTTCCCACGAGCAACCTCTGATCTGCTGCCTTGCACCCGTGCAGTGCTTGGCCCTGCAGATGGGCAGCTCTTTTAGCAGAATTAAGCAATGAAAACTCAAAAATAAAACCCAAAACCCAAATTATCCCCACTGAATCCCTGTATGATCTGAACCAACCAGCTGGAGACACAGAAGACTCACTGCGCTTACACTAGGATGAAGAGACTGAAGTCAACCCCATGTGTGAAGCACAGGAGCCCATGGTTCATGAGGTGCCTCTGCGGAGAACAGGGAGAAGCTGTGAAACCGTCAGAAAATTAGCACCCAACTTGCTCAGCTGTGCATTCAAGGCTCCCTCCAAAGAGTACTTCCTAGGACTGCAGCACCTCTAGATTTTGGGTGTCTCCGGAAGGAAGGGCTCTGAAGGAACATTCACCCTCAATAAACCTTCAGATCTCCTGCACCAGCCTCTGTGAGCCAACCCAATAAACCACTGAGATCCTTTTCCTCGTGGATGGAACGGTTCTCACTGATCCGGAATTGTTTCCAATGTCTGCACATGCACAAATGTACTAAAAACTGCTCTGTATCAACTTCCCTTCTCATCCCTCATGCCTCATCATAGGTTCTGATCAGACAAGGGTTCCTCACAGGGAGAAATCCTCGTTTCTGACTCCCGCAGATATTCTCCACACAGAAGTAACGATGTAAGGACCCTAAGGACCTAAATCTAAACATCTAGAACCAAAACTC